AGCAGTAACACGCTTGATTCTCAAGGTTCCCTGGTGGCACAAATAGGCTTGTGCTTGGCTACCACTGAAAGGTTGGTGGATCAAATCCTAACAACACTACAAAAGAGAGGCATAGAGACCTCTTGCAAGACAACTGCTATTGAACACCTGTGAAGCACAGTTCTACACTGATGCTGAATTGACATAATGGAATGGAGGTTCCCACTTCTCCATCTCTAATCATGCTGGCTCTGACCACAATTCATTACTACATCTCTTATTGCTAAGATTCCTACCTTTCCACTCCGTGAGTCCGCCCCATTCTCTTTTTCCTCTCCCTTCACAATGAAGCAAGGTAACCAAGGGAATGACTGTCCATGTTTGATGGACCTGGGTTGGAGTCTCAATACTGTCACTTGATGTCTTTGTGTTTGTGGGTCCAATACATAACCTCTCCGAATCCCAGAATCCTCCTTCGCAATCCAAACACAACCACAGTGACTTTCACAGTGACTCCCAAGGATTAATGAAATAACACGTGTGAAGGGCTTAGCCTCCTTGTTGGCCACGCACTCAACACTAACTATATGTTTGGATTAATAAGATTTAATACCAAAGGCAGCTTCCATGTCTTTTATCTGCCATCTACTCTCCATCACTGTGGGAATGGGGGTTGGTGTGTCAGAGACATTAAGATTGGCAAGGGATAGAGCAGGGTTTAGGGCCGCTGTACAAAGGGTTGCTGTGAGTCACAGGCGACATGACGGCACATAACAATAACAACAACAACTCTGTATTTCATTCTTAAACATAATCTCTACTTTTAAAAATGTCATTAAGGTGCCATGCAGTCATCTCCAACTTGTTGCCTCCCTATGCGCGACAGGGTGAAGCCTTGCCCGACCCCAGGCCATCCCCACATTCTTCACTGTGCTTAAATCTACTGTTGACGTTCCATGTTAGTTATTAACCAACATCGCAGCTGTTTCTCGTTGGGTTGAAATGTGCCACATCAGCACGTGAAGGTCATTCACGGACTGAAATGTAGGTCCTCATGGGCTCTACTCCAGCCCCATCCCTAAGGCAGATGCTACTTGGAGGCAGCCCTTCCCCAGTTAAATCCGAGTGCCTTCCAACCGGAGAGGCGCATCTTCTCACCCTAGGTCAGACTACATTCCGCTGCTCTTTCTGGGGTTTCCTAGGACCCCTTATTTCAGAAGTGGACAGCTAGGCTGCTTCTTAGTCTCGAAGATCCACTGAAACCTGTGTGCCATGGACGACTCTGCTGGCATTTCACATAGTGGTGGTATAGCTTCCTGCATCACAGCACCACACAAACCACCACAGTATAATACATAATAATAATATAATAAAATGTAAGTATAATACAGGAGGCTGGTGGACCTTCAAAGTCAAAGCCTTGCCAATGGTAAAGCACACATATAAAACAACTTTAAAATATGTTTTAGAGCTAGCATAGCAATCCATATTAAGAAATTATGTAATAACACATTCAGGGAACAAAATATCATATCTCTAAGTCAACTGGACCGCTTGCTCAGAGAGTATTAATTCTGATTGGTATAATTCAAATTGTGCTTTCCCCCCCCCCTTAATCTGTCTATCCTCCTTCTTCCATTTGTTTTTTCCATGCCTTTCCCTCCCACTCCTAAAATAAGATTTTACTGGAATATCTTTACAATAGGAGAAAAAAGGCCTCAAACAAAGGACCACAGCTTTCGTTAGCTTTATCTGAGATACTTTTCATAAACAGATGTTTACATGTGCATTACAACAGGACATAAGAAATCTGTGTGCTCTGGTGGCCTAGTGGTAAAAAGCTGTGCTGCCAACCCAAAGGCAGGCAGTTTGAATCTACCAGCTGCTCCGAAAGAGAAAGATAGGCACTCTCCCACCGTGCAATCTAGTGCCTCTGAAAAACCTATGGAGGGCCAGCTACGAGTCAGTTCTGACTTGATGGAACAAAACATCTTCAAGACCATAAAAAATGTGTCATCTCTTTCACTCAAGCATTTGCCATCTTCTAATTTTTTTCATCAAAAAAGAAAAATCATTCATTACTGAGTATCTTCTTCCCCCCCTCCATGAAGTTACTAAGACTCTTCCCGTTTGTACAACCACGTCACCTCAGAAGTAGCCACCTTTCCCATAACATCTATAAGAAATCACCACTTCACCAAGGAAGACATTCAGATGGCCAACAAGCACATGAAGAAATGTTCAAAATCCCTAGCTCTAAGAGAGATGCAAATCAAGACAACTATGAGATATCATCTCACCCCAGTAAGACTAGCAAAATTTAACAGAACAGCAAGCAACAAATGCTGGAGAGGTTGTGGAGAAACTGGAACCCTTATTCACTGTTGGTGGGAGTGTAAAATGGTGCAACCACTGTGGAAAGCATTGTGGCGCTTTCTCAAAAAGTTGCAAATATACCACTTGACCCAGCAATTCCAGTACTGGGAATATACCCCAAAGAGACCATAACTGACATCCAAGCAGATATATGCACACCCATGTTTATCGCGGCTTCGTTCACAATAGCAAGGAATTGGAAACAACCTAAGTGCCCATCAACAAATGAATGGATAAAGGAGCTGTGGTATATTCACACAATGGAATGCTACGCTGCATTGTAAAACAAGGAACTCATGCAATATTATTCAACATGGGTGAGCCTTGAGGACATTATGCTGAGTGAAATATCTCAGTCACAAAAGGACAAACACTGTATAATGCCACTGCTGGAGAATGGGACTGACATCAGGGTTGGGGTAAGAATGAGAAAACCTGGATGAATTATGTAAACTGCACTGAAACGGATGAGGGAGAGAACAGTTTAAAAGCAATATAGTATAGGGCATTATGATTATCATAAGAGTCCAGAATGAAGGTTGCAGAGTAGAGTGTACTCGGGGTGGGGGTGGGGGGATTTGGGGGTATTGTATACCAATGAAGGAATTTTTCTTTTACTTTTCAGAGAGAAGAGTGTACTGGGGGAGGGGGGAGGGGAGAGAAAAGTGCAACAATGAATGAAAGGAAATCCAAAATCTCTGTAAATGTTCATTGAAATTAATGATAAAAAACCAAAAAACAGTAACAAAAAAAAACCCAAAAAAAGAATTCGCCAAATTTCAAAGGTAAAGAAAAAGAATACTTTATTATAGAACTTATAAAATAATTAAATATTACACATATATTTTGACTCTTCTCTATAATCCATAGTTTTATTCAACATTTTCTTTCCTTTCCTCAGAATTCATCCCGCTCACTCAGAGAAGGAAATGAGAACACATAAGAACAAGCTGTTAATTAATAAATTAATTTCTTCCATAAAATAATAGAGTGATACTTAAATGAGGGGGCAGGTAATTTGCAGTTTTTCGGAGGGCGAGAGGGTGGTGTGGAACCACTTTTTGGTTGTTCTGCCGCTGTTAGAAATGGCCACCGCTCCAGACAGGCCAAGGAGACCAGGAGAAGCTAGTAATCACAATTTCTGTGCAAGTGGAGAAGGCATGATTTTCATTAGGATGGGAACAAAGGGTGCAGCTAAATTTAACTGACCGCTGTCTAGAGGTTGTGCTGACTTGGCTAATCCTTGTTTGAAAGGAGACTTTTTAAAAAGCAGTAAAATGGGGTTACATTCATCAAAGAAGTGGAGGGATAGCCTGGAATTACATAAATATGCGTTTTATAACCACTTCTCAAAAGAAAAAAAAATATGACAGGAGGACAGAGCCTCATGAGTTACTCGGGTTTTGGCAAAACAGTCGGTGTTTTTCCAATTGAGAAGGATTTTAAACTCGTCAGTGCCTGGCAACAGCTGGCTTCCAAGGACCGAAAATATCATCTGAGAGATTTTTAAATGCTTGTATTCATGGAAAGGTCTTGGCATATAATGATTTATTAAGGTTTATATGGCAGAAAAATAGATGAATTTTTTTTATTGCCACTGTGATTTTTTTTTCTTGATAATTAAAATCATTCAGCAAATTTAAGCATGTCAATTGGTAGAAAAACCAACCCACATGTGGCTTTTAATTGTCCAAGTAGTTCTGATAACATGCAGGGGACATTAGAAGGGCTGGTCTCATCTCGTTCTCAACACTGGTTTCTGGAGTCGAGTGTCTTCTAAGTCAATGGGAAATGAACACCTCATCCGTCCTCATTCCTAAAAAGCAGACGTGTGGCTCCTCAGAAGTGCCTTGTTGGCAGCAAGGGCACGGCGACACGTTCAGCGAGCACCAAAAGTGAAAGGCTGGTCTGATGGGAAGACGTGTCATCCTTCTTTTCTGGAGTGTGGCTTTCAATTAAATGGACCTCTTCGGTGGTCAGGCTGCCCTGGGAACACTTTTCAAGTTGGCCTTTTGGTCTTTGAGACTCTCTAGGAGAAGCATATAAACAAACAGACACACACACACGTGCACGCGCGCACACACACACGCGCGCACACGCACACACACACACACACGCGCGCACGCACACACACTAAATGAACATGACAGCGAAGCCTGCTAGTCCAGCAGCAAGCACCATTGTGAGCACCATTAGGATTCGCAAGATTCTTGGTTGGGGGAGGTTCAGAGCCCAAGCGATGAGCTCCAGGTTCTGACAGGTAAGGGGTCCCACCCATGTGTGATTGCTCCAGACATCAGTCTTTGACCCGAAGGTAACTGAATTCTTTGAGGTCTGGAGGGCGACCTGTGCCGAAGTGGACAAAAAAAAAAAAAACCTCATCAAAATGAACTTTCAACATGTCTCAGTGTGATTCATCATTGCTTCCATGAACAGTGCAAATAAAAGATTCTTTTCCTCTCCTTTTTTCTCTTTGTAAGATTTCCCACCACTTCGCGTTTCTCAAGTGCTTCAGAGTACCGTCGGCTTCACTGCTGTCCATCCCTTGGGGCTGGTCTCCCCGAAGCCATGGCAGCCTCACGGTCGGTCGCTGGTGTTGGAAGGTCAAGTTCTGGCCCTGAGGTGTTGGGGTGGGGGCGTCCAGATCAGCTCTTCCTTGTGCACGACCTGCAGCAATGCTTGCCATAGAATTTGTGGTTGCAGACACCATGTGGAGGAGCGAGGCGGCACCAACTAAAGAAATCGACACAGGATGGGTCCTCTGAAACGAGAAAACGCACTTAGTGGTCGGGCCAGGGGGCCATGCCTTTTCCTCTAAAGCTGCTGTCCTGGGTCTACCTACCTCATACCTCTGAATGGTTCCCCCAATCGTAAAGTTAGGACTTGGTGGAGACTGAGGAGGGGGCAGTGAAGGACACAAAATAAATGTCTGTTGATTATAGTTATAATAATGATTGCTCATAGCTGATTATCAGTGCTTCTGCTGAGTAAGAATTTCATTTGCATTATTGAGGATGACTCTGGAGTGAGACTGAAGCCATATTGCTTTTTCTCTTTCTCTCTCTCTCTTAGTATGCAAGCAACCAACAAATCCCTTGGGCTCAATTTCCAAAATATGACCGGCATTCAAGCAGTCTTACCTCAAGGACTCCAAAGGACCCACTTCGCGCTGGTCACCTGGAACAGTCTCTACTGAAGAGCAGGAAGTCCTCTCCTACTCGGGACCCATGTGCATTTCTCAATCCAACTGCCAATCACTGATCCACAAGCCAGAGCCCATTGCTCTTCTGCCCAACACTTTCCATTCGCTCCCATCTCACTCCAAGGAGACCTCAGGTCCTCACTGTGATGTACAAGGCTCCCCTTCCCAAGCTAGTCTATTTTCAGTCCCCTCACAGGCATGTGGGACCAGAGAAGAACTAGTTAGTGTCTTTGAACTTGGGTGCTGGTGAAGACTACTGACTATATCATAAATGGCTAAAAGAACAAATAATCTGTCTTTAAGGAAGTATTCCTTATAAACAAAGACAGGGAGATGCCCTCACACACACACTTGGACAATGGTGTCAGAAGGGGCTTCTTGTTGCTACCTGCTGTTGAGGCCAAACCGACCGGTAGCTGACCCTCCTCCACTGGGTTTCAGAGGCAGTAAACTGCACAGGAGGAGACTGCCCCTCCTTCTCCCACAGAGCAGCTGGTGGACTTGAACCATGTGCCTTACAGATTGCAGCACAGCTTCTTACCTTTGTCCAGCACAGTCTGCTCTGACTCACAGTGACCACATGCACAGGACAGCACGATCCTGGCTAATTCTACACCAGCCTCACAATCCCTGTTGTGCTTCAACCCATTCTCACCGTCACAGGGTCAATTTGTCTTGCTGAGGGGCTAGTTCCTGGTTAAAGACATCTCACTTGGAAAAGCAGGTCAGTGAGAAAAGAGGAAGACCCTCAGGAGGTGGGTTGACACAGTGGCTGCATGGGGGGGCTCAGCACAGCAGAGAGTGAGGATGGAGCAGGCCTTCACTCGGCAGTGTACGTACGACTCCCCGGCCCCTCACAGCACCGCCAGCAGCGGAGCGTCCGACAGCTCCCCACCTTGTTTACTGTGCCGGCTACGGTTTCAGTGGCCTCCTTGCTTTTCCTTGGACAGATTGACATATTCCTGATTCGGAGGCTTCACGTTAGTTTTTCCCCTTTTCCAGGAACATCTCCTTCTAGATGTTCAAATGGCTCATACTCCTTACACCCTTCAGGTTTATTCAAATAAATACTGCATTATCCTGAGTATCCTAACGGCTCCTGCACCAATGCGCCACTGAGCTGGCCCAATACGTCCTCCTGACTCCCAGGAATTCTCATTCTGTGTCCTTGGCTACAGTTTTACTCAATGCTACTTTATCCGCTAACATCATGTATGTATTGATTGAGTTTGCATCTGTTCCACCTAATATAATGACAATTTATTAGGAGGGTCAGGAGTCTGTCCATTTTGCTCATTGCTAGACCGACAGAAAAACTGGGTTCTGGCCCATGCTACTGTTAATGTTGTAGATGCTCATAAAAGGCACCAAATAAATAGGGAATGCAAATTTCCTTCTTCAATCTTGATCTTGATAACCTTAAAAAAAAAAAAAAGTCCACCAGATGCTCTGCTGGAGAAAGAGGGGCAATCTCCTCCTGTACCAGTCAGATCCGATTTGACGGTACGTGCAAAAAAATAATAAAAAAATTTTTAAAAACCCAGTAAAAATGACAATTTTTTCCTCAGAGCCACACAGCTAGTAAATACAGCAGAGTATGAACTTAAAACCATTTTCGTGACTTTAGAATCTTGCTTGTCACTGTTCAATGCCATCGACCCTCTCCTACTCTCACCCTGGCCCATCTGAAGACGTAGACTCCCATGAGGAGTAGTGTATTGCTGTCGGATGTCTGGAAGTGTCTAGTTTAATCCTGGGTTTATCTGGAGCCCAAGTATCTTTCAGATGATGTAAACAACGAGCTATAAAGCAAATGTGATAGACCTGCCTCTGGGGCTGTCTTTTTCTAAACAGGGTTTAGATAGGATCTTCACACACAGTACATCCAATGCAAAGTCATTTAGGATGGTCCTCCAGGGTGCAATCCAGTTGAGATGCCCACAGTGATGGTGTAAGGGAAATGCCTCAGAAAAGCAGCTGTCAGCCTGGGAGGAAGACTGAACAGCACCGCGTTCACCTCTTGGGAGTTCTGTTCTCAGACTCTGGTGTGAATGGCGCCCCCTAGAGGTGTGCAAGGCACAAGCTGCCCAACCAAATACAGTGGCCTTTTTTTTTGAGAAATTCTCTGCAGACCAGCATGGTGAATGGGAACCCAGGGGCCCTTTACCTTTCTTTTCAGGAGCTGGACAGAAGTTTGTGTTACAGGCTCGCAGTGCTGGGGGCTTCTGATGCACGAGACAACTGGAGGCGGGCCGGCCTTGCTGGGCGCAGTGGACGGACCGTGTCTGGACCCCGCCTCCGCAGGTCACCGTGCACTGCAGTGGAGGGGAGAGAAAGAGAGGGGTCAGGGAAAGGTGTCCTCTCCTGAGAGGGAAGGACATTAGAGGGACAAGACCCCCAAGCTCTATGACCTGTCCAACATGCCTGCAGGCCAAACAGGGACTGACAAGACCCAGGAATGAGCTCTTGGGATAGAGTCTGTCCTAACTTGTGTCGCTGGCTGATCTGATTAGCAGGGTCTTAGGCTGACACTGCAGATAGAGCCCAAGAGTGCATATCGCCCTGGCAAGACATCATGCTTGGAAAGACTGAAGGGCAGTGAGAGAGAGGAAGACTTTCAATGAGATGGACCGAAACGGCAACTGCAGCACTGGGCTCAAATGTGTCAGAGATGATATGGACGGTGTAGGACAGGACAGGGTCCAGGTCTGCTGTTCATAGGGTTGCAATGAGTTGTAATCAACTCAACTGCACCTAACAACAACCAGGGGGAAAATAAACTTTTATCAATGCTTTTGGAACCAGTTTATTTCCGGTCCAACCCCCTGCTGAGAAGATGCCTTTTCAACTCAGATACACTGAATCAGAACTTGTAATTTTTAAAAGATCCCCAGCCACAAATTCTTCGAGACCCTCCCATTTGTGAAAAAGGAATTGTCTTAGAAGTGTCATAAAGCAAAGCAAAGCAAAGTAAAACATGGTCTGCCTGTGATGTTTATGGGTGAGAATGTTTAAGGGTTAAGTCAGGTTATCAAGAATGTATGGAACAAACATAACAATAGTTGAGGGGCATGAGTTGTTACTTGAATTATTCAGACATAGAGGAGAAGGAGGACATCATACACTATCAAGCAGCATTTCTGAAGTATATTGATGGTGGCTGGAGTGACAACAGCAGCTTTACTGTTCTGTGACAGATCTGTTGCTGGGGGTGCATGCTCTCACTTATTCATTTACAGCAATCTGAAAGATATTATCATTTCAAGTTTCTAGATATACAGACTGAGACACAGGATTTGTACAAGCTGCCCAGTGCCACACAAGAGCTGGACAGAGAACACAAGCAGTGTTGTTTCCTGAACTTGAACTCTTTCCTCCTCACATGTGGACAGATCTCTAAGTATATCTCTTGGTCAGCTCCTTCTAAAACTGCACACAAGAAGCCTTGGTGAGACAATGGTCAAGCGCTTAGGTGCTAAACAAAAGGTTGACAGTTCGAATTCACCTAGCAGCTTCATGGGAGTAAAGAGCTGGCAGTGTGCTCCTATAAAGACTGTTGTTCTTACATAGCATTGAATCAGAACTGACTCATAGCTGACCCTCCAACAGGATTCCAGGGGCAGTTATTTGCACAGAAGTGTCCACCTTTTTCCCATGGAGCAGCTGGTGGATTTGAACCACATACCTTTGGGTTAGCAGCACAACTCCTTATTTCTGCTGCACTGAACTTTTTTTTCTAAGCCTAAAAGAGCAGCCTAGAAAAACCCTACTGGGCAGTCGTTCTCTGTCACACAGGGGTCAGGAGAAGTTGAAAAGAAACTCAATGGTCCTTGACAAGAAACCCCTGCCGCACTCACCCGTTGCCATGGTGACGTGTACCACTCGGCTACCAGGTTGTACACAGGGCGGGCAGGACAGGCCCCCGGGTTGCAGGCTTCCTTCAAGTTCACACTGGGTTTCTTCAGGTTGCGGCACCGGCGCTCTGGGAAGGTGATGAGCTTTCCCGGGAAGACCTTCTCGCTGCACTTCACGTCTCGCTTCCTCACACCTGCACCACAGGTTGTGGAGCACTGGGAGGTAGGGCAGAAGGTGTAAAGGTCAGAGCTCCATGTCCACGGCCAACAAGCAGATGGGTTCCTAGATAAGCTTTGCCATCCACATGGAATCCAAGGAATGAGAAGTTGGAAGGTTGACCATCCACGGATAAGCACCTTCAAACTCCCACAACGCGGGCAGGAGGTGTGACCTCTGGCTAGACCCACCTCCCCTTCCTTGTCGCCCTTCCCCTGATTCCTGCTTGACCATTAGGCTCATGTTTGGGGCAAAGCCCTCTGCAAGGATTCCTCCTGAAGGCTGGATTAGGTGGACCCTGAGGTTGTCCATCTAGGACTTGCAAGCCTCACAGGTGGCTCCATTCTCTACAGGTCTTTATGCTCTCTGTGGGTCCAGCCACCATGACCAGGGCTTTATAAAGGTCTCATGACCTCAATTGTGTTTGGGCTTGTGTTGGAGGAAGCAGGAGTGGCATCCACTTCTGAAAGGGCTTGCCTCTGGAAACTCTATGAACATTCATAGGGTCACTATGAGTCGTCTATGACTCGATGGCATCTAACAACAATAACAACAACAACACAGAGAGAGCTACATTGGCCTAGTGGACAGAAAGTGATGCTACCAAGCCCAAGGTGGGTGATTTTAATCTACGGCCCTCAGGCCTGGTTCAAATTGGGGTGTTTTTTTTTGTCAAACATACTTCTAGGTGGTATAGCACTGGTCTGTCCACTTGCTGTACTCGTGGTTGCTGTGAAGCCACACATTGTGACACTGATGTGTCAAATGCAATAATGGTTACCCATGGTGGACAGTGTTTGGTGGAGCTCCCGATTAAAACAAGCTTGGAAGCAGGAGAGGCATCCACTTCCAAAAGGGCTTGCCTCCGGAAACTCTATGAATAGTGCTCAGGTCTTTTGTTCATAGGGTCACTATGAGTCGTCTATGACTTAATGGCACTTGACAACAATAACAACATGATCTCAATGCGAGGGTTGGCCAACTGCCAGACAACAGGCATATGCACACTGAACAGAGAGGAGCTTCGGGGACGTGGCTTCTAGAAAAGCGGAGCGTCTCGGGAGAACCTGCAGGAAGCCTGCAGCCATACCTCACTCCACGAGGAGACGACCCACTGCAGCCGGGTGTTTTTGGGGCACCGTCCCAGCACACAGCCCTCCTGTGACTCTGGCTTTGGGATGCTGGCGCAGGCGCTCTCGGGGAGGGGGTCGGCTGCAGCAGAACTTCTGCACAGGACTTCTCGCTTCTTCACTCCTCGCCCACACGTCTTGGAACACTTGAGAAGAAAAAGGAGAATGCCACTAGTCCTGGACAGTGTTCTTCTGGGTAGATAAGGAGAACACATTGCTGAAGTGTGTGCAGTAGGATTTTTCAGCGTTTGAACGAACTGTTCAATCTCTTACAGCCACTAGCTGAATCCCTTCTTGTGGCCACTAACTAGGAGAGGTAACTTCCTTAAACGCAGGCAAGCCTTCACCCATGACCTTCTGAGCGCTCTGTGGCTGCTGGGCTCTCTGTAGTCTGAAGGCGAGTTTTATTGACATCAGGGCAGAACTGAATGCTCTTTTCGGGCCGTGTGGTAAATGGTACATGATGTGTTCACTGGTGAATGTGTGCTTTTCTCTGGCAGAAGGCACAGAAGACGTAGGAGCCTGAGTAAAGAAGGTGATTCTGGCAACAGGAGCAACATAGATACATGCGACTCGGTAGAAAAGAGCTGAATTTGCGATTGATATGGAAGGAGCTCTGATGGAAAATACAGTTAAGCACTTGACTGTTCCTCCAAAGCTCAGCAGCTCAAACCTACTAACTGCTCCATGAAAGCAAGTTGATGACAGGGACGGTGATGGTAACAGCAGCAATGATATTAAAATCAGCAAACCACAGCACAGAGAACGTTTACTTCACGTCTCCTGTGTGCTGATGTGAGTTTAGTGTGGGTTCTGAAGCTGGTATCACACAACTCCCTAAGAAGGCCATGGCCTCACTCTATAATCCCATTTTACAGAACAGGCAATTGAGAATCAAAGTACTTAGGTCTCCTGCCCAAGACCAACCACACAGATGCTAATAAGCAACTTCAGAAGACTCTCTCTGACGCCAGAGTATGGATATGAGCCACTAAAATACAGCCACCTGTTCACAATACTATTTTCTAACTGGTTAATGCTCATTCAGTGGCATTTTGTCTTGTATTTGCAATGGTTTGCGTGATGGTAAAAATATGTTAATTGCTTCCCAAGGACGTAGGACGCTCCCTGGAGAAAAGATGGGCAGTCTCTCTCTGTGTGATTCATCACCTTGGGAACTCCAGGAAGGGCCACTTATGAGTCAGTGCAGATTTGAGACTTGATAGAATAGTGAGTGAGAGGTGGGGGGAGTGGTGGAGAGACACACACACACACACACACGGACACACACACACACGGACACACACACACACACACACAGAGAATGAGATGTGCCAGTTCTGCTGCTGACCCAAAGCTGTGCCTTGCGGGGTCCATGATACAAAGAAGCACACGGTCCCCCAGTGGGATTTACATCCCTGGAAGCCCACTGGAGGGTCAGCTAGGAGTTGCCTCAGATCTGATGGGGATGGGGGTGTAGAGAGAAAGAAAGAATGACAAAGAAAGAAGTCAGATGCAACACCATCTATTACTCGGATTTATCCTTCCCTATAAAGGGACACAAACGGGCAAGTCAAAAGCAGAACTGATGTGTTTAAATGAGGGTGCTGCTGCGGTCAGGACGTGTGCCTGGCTCCACAGAGCTGGTGAAGCTACTGCACTAATTTGTTGTTTAAAATCTGTTTGCCACCCAAGGTCCGCAGATGGACTGACAGCTGAAGAGGCTGCTGGGGAGCAGGGGCCATCAGCCTCTACACCCACATTTTGGACCAGGAACGTCTGCCTTGTGGGAGCTGGCCTGTGAACTGTAGGATGCTCAGTTCTGTACGCTAGATGCTGGTAGGTGCACCTGCTAAGATGTGACAATAAAGGATGTGTCCAGTCATTGCCAAATGTCCCTTGGAGGGCACAATCACTCTTGCTGGAGACTGCTGTACTTGTTCAATGGTATTCTTTCCCATGATTCCTGTCTGTACTCCTCTTTTTTTTAAAAAAAAATTATTTTCTTAATTTTAATGAACATGTACAGAGATTTTGGATTTCCATTCATTCATTGTTGTATTTTTCTACCTGCCCACCCCCTCCCTCCCAGTTCATGCTTCTCTTTGAAAAGTAGAATTCTTTCATTGGTATACAATCCCCCCACCCCGGGGACACTCCACTATGCAGCCTTCATTCTGGACTCTTGTCATGACCATAATATCCAATCATATATCCCTTTTAAACTGTTCTCTCCCTCATCTATTTCAATGCAGTATACATAATTTATCCAATATTTCTCAGTCTCACCCCAATCCCGAGATCAGTCCCATTCTACAGCAGTGGCACTATGTAGTATTTGTCCTTTTGTGACTGAGATATTTCACTCAGCATAATGTCCTCCAGGGTCACCCATTTTGAATAATATTGCATGAGTTCCTTATTTTTCAATGCAATGTAGTATTCCATTGTGTGAATATACCACTCTCTATCATTTGTTGATGGGCACTTGGGTTGTTTCCAACTCTTTGTGATTGTGAAAAAAGCCACGCTAAACATGGGTGTGCATATATCTTCATGGGTGACAGTTATGGTTTCTTTAGGGTATATTCCCAGTCGTGGAATTGCTGGGTCAAATGGTATTTCTATTTGCAACTTTTGAGAAAGCACCACACTGCCTTTCACAGTGGTTACACCACTCTCTGTACTCTTCTAACCCCACCCTTTTCCCATTTAAGAGTTTAAACATCTTTTGTATAACTATATCTGTATTTTCCATTTGCTTTGAAGAATTCAGTAGCCAGTTCAGCCCACCAATCCTTTTAACCTGTACTCACTTGTCAAGCCTAGCTGGCCCCCTTCCTCCAACTCCAAACCCTAAGGAGAGGACTCTATGGTCCAGTCATGAGAACCAACAACCTCGCTCCCCAAAATGCAGAGTCCCAGGCGCCCTCTCATTACATCGGAGTTACCCCTTGACATAAGAAGGTGTAAAAAGTTGAGAAACTCCTGGGAAGGGAAGGGACCTCCTACATGTCTGCCACCTTCTGCCTGGGGAAACTGAGCCTCCCCATGCCGTCTAAGTTACCTGAGACCAGGGCCCCAGACTCCACTCTGGAGGGCAGGCCTGGCTGTTGCAGACTTGAACCTGAGTGGGTGTGCTCACTGGGCAGAGGGAGTGCAGCACCGTGTCCTCCTTCTGGAAGGGCTTCTTCTGGACACACTGGACCTTCCGGCTCTGCTGGCCACCCGCGCAGGGTCGGCTGCACATGCTCCACTCACCTGGCTTCCAACTTTTAATGAGGGAAAAAGAAGGATATTTTCAATGAAGCTAAGGCTTTGGATCATAACTTCAAGTGTACTGACAACAAAAGATCAACCACTTAACAAAAGCTTTCAGTCAACACTGGAACCAACAAGAGCAACTCCAACTAATTATTCTCTGGCAGAAGTTGGTGACTACATGCCTGTGGTCCAGATCGGATCACTTGTAATTAACACACGGTGATGGGAAGAAGCACATTCCTTCCCGCGGGATGGGAAGAAACTCCTGCCATTTTGAGTTCTGACAAGTTCAGTCATTTATTCAAAGTTAGTGGGCTCTTAATTGGGGGCCAAGCCCCTCTGCGGGGCATGATGGCTGGAAGCATGAATCTGGCAGGGTGGGTCCTTTCACTGAGATGCCTCCTGCACAGCGTAGGAGTGGATATGGGAAAAGACAGTACATTCTGGTGAACGCTTGAGTAAAAGATAATGCAAAGACTGACAGAGTTGGTGGAGGAGTGATGAATGAGAGAGAAGAGGAAGGGAGGGGAGGAGAGGAGAGAAGGGATGTGGGGGAAAGGAATAGAAGAAAGGAATGGAGAGAGGAGGGTGGAGGGAGAGGAGAAGTGGAGAGAAGGAAGGGGAGGAGGAGGGAGGGAGTGGAAGGGAGGGCAGGAGCAGAAGAGCATGGATGTGACGGAGAGACGGACAGTTTCAGAGAAGGTCTCACAGAGGATGTGCCTCCGCGATTCCTCTAACTGCTTATTTAAAATAGTCTTAAAACGGACGAACGCATCAAGATCTAACCTTGTATTCTTTGCTTAAAGATAAGCAGACCATTTTCCACAACTATCAGAATTGTGTTTTCAAACAACGGACCCCTCAAAACTACTAAACCTTTTCAAGAAACGTATTGGATTAACTATTTACACTTCTTGACGTGGAAGCACAGCCTCAACTTGCTAAGCCTGATTCAACTGCTGTAATGTGTAAGTCACACAGCAAAGTCTGAAAGTGCACACATTTCTTAAAGTATAACTTTAGACAAGAAAAACTGATAAGACCAAAATAATGCGTTTGTGATTCCTTTGCATTTCTGAAGCCTTTCCAAATGTTCCTCTAACTTTTTGTCTGGTTCTGCCCCCCCTCCCCCAGTGTGAAATTAAAGAAGTTTTGCCCAGAAGCAGCAGCACACGCATTTGCAGAGTACAAACTCATTGCAGAGGAGTCCTGGCGGCTCAATGGTGGAACTCTGGATTGCTCAACACAAGGCCAGAGGCGCACACCCACCAGCCTCTCCAAAGGAAAAAACCACACGGAAGTCTATTTCCAGAAAGATTTACAGCCTTGAAAACCCCATCAGGCGGTTCCACTCTGTTCTGCAGGGTTGCTATGAATTGGCATAGACTTGATGGCAATGGGAAACTACTGGTTAATTCATTTTCTCCTATTGAGCTAAAGATCAAAATACTCAAATTCACTGATGTCAGGTTAGAACCCACTCACAGCTGATCCTCCACCGTGTGTCCAAGGCATGAGAGCAGACTGCCTGTCTTTCTCCCATGGATCCACTGGGGGCTTTGAGGTGCTGCCTTTGAATTAGCAGTGTGTCTCCCTACAGGCTACCCAGAGCTCCCCCAAGTAAGTCACTGAGCTAAAGACAGATGATGGTAACTAGGAAAACTCCTCAGAATTGTCTAATGACATGAAACTTACAATAAGTAGAAGAAAACAGAAATACTATGAAACTAATGGCTTCAACATTTTTCTATAAAAATGGCATTTGTGTTCACCAATTTCTAAGACTTTGTCTTTAGGTGACAATGTGATGGCTTTGTGAAAATGCTGGAAAGAGCACGGCAGGACAACTTCTCACATGACAAGCCTGACCCTCCACATTTCAGTCCTGATTAATCACTCGTTTGCCCTTAACCTACTAATGTAGAGTCCAGACCCCTACACATTCCTCAGAAAAGTGAACAGCTCTGTAATTTTCCTCTATTCATGTTTTTTAGAACATAAGACTTTAATGGCATACATCATACTATCTCAATTATTTATTTATACATCCATTTCTTCCACAAGCATGTGGTTTTGCCGATAGTGGGGACTCCAGGCCCTTCATCTCTGCACCCCCAGTGTCAGCTCGAAGCCTGGCACACCCAAAGTGCATACGACACGCTGGCTGTGTAAGAAAATAGCAAAGTTACTTCAGTCAAACTCCTCTCTTTGTAACTCAAACTGTTTTGGGCTCTTTTCAAGAATATTTCTAAGAAGGAAGAGCCCCTGAAACGCTCAGGCCAATAGAAGACACTGAGATGTAAATAGGAGGGTGGGGACGGTGGGAAGGGGGCAGAAGACCCTGCCCGTCTCTCCAGGCCCACGCCACGGGGTCCCAGCAATAGGCTGACCTCCCTGTTAACAGTCTCCTGCATTTCTGTGTGCAGTTGCAGAGCTGTAGGGAGACTTTAGGGACCTAGTATAAACTGGGTTTTCTGCCTTTTCATGGAGTACAGATGGTGGGTGTGCAGCTGGTGAACCCGGGGTTATTACAGGTTGGAGTCGGCTTGACAGCCCCTCACCACAACAGTCCTATATGAATGGAATCTTCTGCTTTGATTGGCTGCTGTAACAATGATGAGGAAGGAGGTTCAGAATCAGAAAACATCAGCCAGTGTATCTCTACACACCCAACCAAACCCAACTCTAGCACAAAAGGAGCAGAGACACTGTTCTGGCAGTGAGTCACTTGATACTCCTTCCAACCAGAGACACTGGCTAAGAATAAAGAGAAAAACCTGTGGAAAGTCCCCAAGTTCCTGTCTTCACTTCGTGCTCAGGATACCTGGCTCCCAACTCTCAGAGAAGAACGGGGTTAACTCTCAGCATTTGGGATCGTGGACAAGTCAAACCTCAAGCGATGAAAACAAATGTGTATTTATTTACAAAGAAGGAAACACGTTTTTATAAAGTTTGTGGAATGTGAGTATAACACCACAAACCACACGGTGCTTATCAAGGTGATGTGCAAACTGGTGAAGACAGCGTCGCTCTAAAAGCCACTGCCAGTTCGACAGAAAGCTATCTGGCAGAAGTCAAGTCACCAAAGAGGAGACTTCATTTGGCTGGGGAGAGTATTTAAAAATAGCATCCAAACAATAGTGAGATGAGAATCCAGGCCAAAGGAAACACACTGTGGTCCCCATCAGGCCCCCTAACCAGAGCCAAAGCCCTTTGCTGGCCTTTATCCCTTGATTTTGGGCTTTGCTACTGTATAATTTGCATTTGGGGCTTCATGGTCTATGTAGTATGATTCTTAAATTCTTGGACGATTTATATAGGATTCTGTGCTATATAAGTTATCTCCTTTTGGTTCAAGTCAGAGAAGAGAAGCCAATGCTCAAAGGTGAAAAAGAAAGACTTCTTTTTGACCCAAGGTTGAGTTTGCACAGCTAAACTAAAGCGAGTTTGCTTTAATCCCCTCAAGCCTTATGCTTTCACATCCATTATTTTTCTCCCTCGCACTGCATTTTGGGTGTGGAGTCTACCTTCGTGTCACTTACTTTTGATAGAAGACTTGGCAGAGGGTTCTCAAGCCAAGGGTAAAGACACACAAGCACAGACAAGACCAGATGGACGTTTCCAGGGCACTTACTAGGCAGGGCAGGAGAAAGCATTGCATATTTTGGGTTCGGTGGCTGGCTTGGCCTTCGCATTGCAAAATAAAGAACTGACTTGGGTCTTTTGATCCCTTAAGCAGATGGCCTTGATATTTGCGTAACCTAAAAAGACATCAAAAGTCACAAAGGAAAAGAATTACCGACAGCCAATACAATTTGCTTTCTAAGCTGAGCATCCAACCTCCCAAGTTTCTGCCATTTCCTTTGGTACGCAAAATCCAAATGCTTTGAGCAAATGCCCTTTTTTGGTATAATCTGAAATTAATTTAAATTATCTCAATTTTGATCTGAGATGAGAGTTTCCAGACTTAAATCATTTTAATGTTAGCTCCTTGGTCTGTAAGACTGATGTGGACTCTGGAACCACAGGAGACTAAATCTAACCTTTGGGAAACCCGGGGACTGTAAAGGAATATGTGTCACTAATCCTTTGCTCTCCCCTCATACACCCAGCGGACAAAGGTTCTTCAAACGGAGCTCCTGCTGACTGAAATGGGAAAACCACTGGCCTAGCCTAAGCTCAAGGCTTAACATTTTACTTGGCCACTGAGTACTTTCTACTTCCTCAAGAACATAAAACAAAAAGTTGAACTCACTGGCTATGTATTTAAACCTCTGATTTTACTCACACTCTGATTTTACTTATTAGTGGCATTCCATGTTTTGTCTGTAGCTGACATTCAATGCTCACTTCTCATTTGAAGAACACACTTTACATGTGTGAGACTAACAGCTTTTCTCAGCTCTACAAACAGAAATGCTGTTTTCCCTTCGGGTGGTGTTTGTCTCTGTCTGTAAATTAATTTTCCTTAAAATAGAATTTAAGGGCAATGAAGTCACTCACGCTGAAAACTTTAGGTAGACAATCCAGCTCCTGGAACTGAAAGCATATTTGTTAACAGAAGGTATTTGCAAAAAACACCTTGTGATTTCCCAAAGAAGACAATTTCTATTTAGAGAACTTGTTCATATGGACTTTATTTCCCATTTTCCCTGCTAACAATCGTCTAATAAGTTGAGGGATTCCTAAATGTACGTGAGGGGAGAATCCTATAATGCATTTTATCAGCATCCTTCCCTAGGGTCAATGCATACCCTATAAATGGGAAAAAATTAGTGGAATTTCTCTCTTCCCAAGAAAATTGTGTTTCTGGCTCCAAGTGCCCTTCCTGGAAGTTATTAGAAAATATCCCCAAGAATATTTGTTATCTGTCAATATGCTCACAGTTCTCAGTAACTAAAAAAAGAGTAGAGCAAAAATAAAGATTTCTCTCTCTATCTTATCTCTCTCTATCTATCTATCTATCATCAATCTTCTACCTATGTATCTCTATATCTATCTCTATATCTATCTAAATCTCAACAACATGATCCCTGGGGCACAAATCTCAGTCTGTCAAACATATAAGTGTATTTATGTGCACCCTGGAAAAAAAATAGAATGATACAGCCTATTGCCAGTGAGTTGATTCAGATTCACACTGTTTCTTCTAGAACTCTTTATAGAAGACAATCCATCTTTCTCCTTTGGAGAAACTGGTGGATCTGAACTGTTAACCTTATGGTTGGCAGTACAATAGGTTACATACTGTGCCACCAAAGCTCTTTAGAATGATGCAGATCAAAGAATGAACACTGGCTGTTAGTGAATAGGTGTTTGCTGTGAGTCAGAATCAGCTCAATGCAATGGCTTTGTGTTGGTTTCCTTAAATTACTGATTACAGAATTATGGGAAATAATTTTTCTTTTTTTATAGCATATTGCCTTTGAGATGTTATTAACAAAAATCTATTACATTTCTAGTTATATAAGATCTTTTTCTTAACAGAAATATTTTTTCATTGATTTGTACACATAAAGAATGGGCATTAGTGGAAATCAGAGTTCTTCTGAGTCTCTCTTTGTTCCTGGTCCACGGTGCCCAATTTGGTCAATGAGATGGACACAGCAGAAGACCCACAGTCACCAAGTGCTCTGATTAGAGAAACGAGAGACCAGTCTTTAGGTTTCAAGGAATTGCGGTAGTGCAGTAATTAGAGTGCTTGGCTGCTAATCAAAATGTCAGCAATTCAAATCCCCCAGCTGCTCTGTGGAGAAAGCTGTGTTAGCCTACTCCTGCAGAGAGGACAGCTTCAGGTCCCTCGGGGACAGCTCAGCTCTGTCCTGCAGGGCTGCTGTGAAGAGGCTTCAACCTGAGGCCAGGGGCTTTGATGCTTCTGGCTTTGTTTGCTGGCTTTCAATCTTCCAAGGGGACAAGCATGACAAGAGGGACTTGTATACAAGGAAGTGAAATTCTGGCATCTACCTAAAATGCTTCCTTCTCCTTGCTCAGTGATTACTGGTGCTTATG